ATATTAGTACAGTCCTGGTGCCCTGCACAGATAAAGCAACATAGTGAAGATCTGGTGGGTACTCCGAGGTCTTCCAGGAGCATATAATCATCATACAGCAGGTTTACTATACCAACATTTCGGCAGGTCACAACAAAGCCTTTTAGAAAAGTGGGGTCTGATCAACCAAAGTGGAGTTTTACTTTAACAATCATTGTCCATTAGAGGGTCAGAAATGCAACAGCATCGTGTCAAAACAAAGGGGTTTGTGGTATACAGTAGTGAAAAAGCAAAGACTTGAAAGACATATTGAATATCAGGGGTTGCATGGTTAAAACTTTAAAAAAAAGTCTTCTTTTCCTCCACAACTTTTCAGCTAATATCCTCAATTATCCCTTTTGCACTCTGCTATTTAGCTACAGGTCTAGCAAACTTTTGCAGAGAACTGGAATTTGTTTGCATAAATTATAAAACATGTCCGATCTGACCAGCTGCATCAAAGTGATCCTTCTCTGGCCAGTCTATATGCTAGAAAAAAAATTACAAATACTTCATACACATAGGGGTTGATTTAAAAAACAGATAAACAAGAGTAGGTATACAAAAACACTTTTATCTAGAAAGCGGGGGTTGATTTGAGCCTCTATTGGATTTTTTGTAATGTTTGTGTCCTTGTTTGCAAGATCTATTTATTTCCTTTTATTTCTGCAGTAATACACAGGTACCCATAAAGGTAACTATCAGCACAGAATTATACACACAAATGCAGATTATTATGCAGTTTACTACATGGTTAAGGGAGCCCTTGTTTCTTTTTCAACTTGCAGCTTTTCATAAAAACACAGAGAAAACGCATAATAATTTTAATTCAAAACACACAACGTGCATCAAAAGCTTGCATTGTTGTGCAACACCGCATGCGAAACCAAATGTAGTAATCACTAAATGCACTCAGATGTGAATCAGCCCTTGAAATATTGTCTGTTTTTTTCCAGTATAAAATATGCCTTTATTTGCCAAAATAAAAGCATATAGCATAAAATATGCCATAAACTTGAACGTCCACAGGTAATCAACAGACAGATATGCATAGCTATGCCCCCGGCTCACAGGCTCTCATATATAAAATAGTTGTGTTAAGAAAGGAAACACAGCCCGACACATAATTATACAAATACATATATAGTATTGGAAATGTATATATAACTTACCTTAAGTTGAATGTATTTTGTCAAATTAAAATTTTCTGCATATAACTTAATGTATTCAAAGTATTTCCGATTAGGTAGGAAGTTGGGAAAGTCTTCAGGCATTGGAAAGTCACTGAAACACATGGTTTCTTTGGAAACATTGGTAACTAAAGAACTGTAGATGCTGGCCCGATTATCCTCCACTTCATCCTGGAATATGGAGTTGATTAACATACCATTTATATAAACATACAATACAAAAATGTAAAACAAAATAATAGAATTGAACTCACTGTAAACCTCCAAAGACCTCCAATATCCTGACTTTTTTCAAAACATGTTGGTTCTAATCCTTCTTCAATGCATGCTTTGATAGCGGTCAAGCCACTAACTCCTGCTCCAATTACTGCAACTTTCTTTACCATTGTGCTATCTACAGAATGGCAAAAAAAGGAAAATGTGATAAGTATTAAAGTCTAGGGACATCCAAATATAGTTAATCTTTTGAGTTTCTCAGTAATATTTATTTACTGTAGAGATGCACTTGCTTTTCAAATCACTATTCATATGTTTTGTTTCTGAATGCAACAAGTCTTCTTACTTAAGTGTGGTTATATAGTGAACACGTTTCTCAAGTGCAAGTAAAAAAAAAATGAAAACACACTCATCTAGTGGGCTGCGTTTAGTAGTAAGTGTCGCCCCATTGGGCTTGTTCAGATGTAACAGTTCTAAATTAGCATTGCTGGAATATTTGGAGCATGTTCCTTTTTGGGTTATAGTAAAACCTATGCCGCTTCAGCTTTACATGGACATTATTTGAGTAACTGGTTTCCTGGGTACATTTAAGTGATCCTGTGCTTTGACCGTGCAAATTAATTTTTTCCCCTTCCTCCATAGCAACATATACTTTCCTATAGCTGCCCCACCACTCATTTTACTCATGGTCCATGCAATTCCAATGCTTTAATAAAGGTGCCCTTTTCTAAGGTCCCCTTTTTAAGGCCAAACTACACTTTTTTCATCTTTGTTAAAAATGTATAAGTGGGACTATTACTCTAACATTACATGAGTGGTGCTGATTTTAAAGATACAGGTTTTTACGAGGTGTTTAGGAGTTTTTATTGAATTAATTAAGTGAACTAATTTAATTGCTTTTGTTACAATTTTCTGAGGAAACTCAGGCCCAATATATGAGGAAGAATACAAATGACATGGTAACACGGTAACATCAGTATATACTCTGACACTGCTGTCGATAATGTGTTATTTTTTGCTGTCAATAATGTGTTACTTTTTTTTATTTATCTTACTAAAAAAAATATTAATTTAATAATATTATTAATAAATTGCTTGGTAATAATTATTTAGCATTTTTGGGGTTTTTTGTTTTTTATATTGCGACAATACCATTACTTACTGGACCCATCCAACCATTGCGGCACTCTCATCCTTTACACACTCTACAAACTTATGTAGAAAATTATGTACAGCTTCAATATAATGCCACTGATGACTTGCTTTCCTGGAAATGCTAGTTCTTGACTGTCGCACTGATCCAACGGTTTCTATATCTTTAAAGTCCTTGACTCTGTCACATACTCATTTTAGGTTAGAGTCTCTAAAAAATATTGAAGCCAGGAAGTGCCAGGCATCTAGCATCTCCATAAGCAGGTTAGCATTGGCAGCCCACATTTTTCTCTCAGTACATATTCCCTGTAAAAATGTTGAGGATCTTTGTTAGAGGTACTTTGCCTTTATGAACATTTTATACTACAAACAAAGTAGAACTGATGTACAAACTGAATATATTTTTCACTTAGCTCAGTGAAGCTGAAATAAAGCTTAACTTCAATCATCCAATCATGTGTAAAAGGAATTTTTATTTGTTCTAATTCCTCCATGCATGACTGGGTGTTCATAGTGAACAGAGGATCACTCAGCTAAATAAAAAAAGTATTATTTACATAAATCAGTCCTAGTGTGTCTGTAAGACTGTTCTCTATCGGAACTGAGAAATACAGAGAAATAACAGGACAATATTATCATTGTTCATATTGGGAATTTTCTCATAAGGTATATACTGTATGTCTGGTTACGATTCACAGCATCAAAGAAAAGACAGGAAATGACTAGGTTTACTATAAGCATAGAATTAACTTCTACAAAAGCTGTAGGCAAAGAATAATTAATAACCATAAAAGTATTGAATTCTGACTTTTATTCAGGAAAGTCGAAAAAATACAAACTTTCTACATTTATTTTAGTTCAAAAATAAAATGTATCTTTGCAATCAAGGCTCATTTTACAATTGATACTAGATAATAACATTTAACATTCACATAATAGTAACTTCCAACTTTCTTTCTATTCTTCCTTTCTTTCTATTTTGATTTGTGAAAGGTTTTTGTGCCACTAAATATTAGTATTCTCCAACTTTAAAACTATAAAAAAATATTTAGCTAAAAAGAAGACAGAGAAGCAGTGTCTAAACATAATTAAAAAGTTAAATAACTGAAAGAATATCATGAGAGATAGATTTAAGATATACCTGTATGAATAGAATCAAGGGCTTATTTTAGAAAAATTACTTTTTTTGGTGCAGATACTTACAGTTAGCCAAAAACAAACTTGCTAAATTGTATTTTTTTCACTTACCTGTGTTGAAATTAGTTTTTAAAAAAAATGTGTCAACCCCTTTCAATGAGAATATTAAAAAGAGCCAGACTTCCAGTAATGTTGTTATCGAAAGCTTTTAAACTGATTGCCAATGAACTTGTGAAACCTAGTTATGCAACAACTTTAGGTACATACAAGAAAGGATTTGCAAGGGAGCTTGCTACTACAAACTCCACAGCACTGGAACGCATGACCTTTAGACCCTGCCCAACATGTAATGTAAAACTCCAATAAAATCAGAGCTGTTTCACTCAAGCATAGGTTTATTGTAGATAAAGGTTTGAACAAATAAACAGATGTTAACAAGGGAACCTTGACTTATTTTGCAAAAAGTGCTTATTCGTAATTTATAGGGAAGTTAGTACTGCAGCGCTGAACACTGAAAAATGGCCTGGCCAGGAAGGGGGTCTAAACACCTGGTCTTGAAGTGGTTAAAAAAAAGTAAAATTGATAAAAAGTAAAAAAATAATAAAATAAACATTTAGCAAATAATAAGAAATAATAATGAAAATTAAAACAATTAAAACATAAAAAAGTAAACAATTATAAAAGATAATAAGATACAAAATAAAAAAGTAAGAATAAAAATAAATAAAAATGTAAAGAATAAAAAGTAAAAAAATATATAAAGAAAAACAAATTAAAACCAACCCTGCCACCCTTGCCCTCTAGTTGCCATTCTCCATTGGGGTGGGGTTTGGTGGGGAGGGGGGTGCATTGAGGAACCTGGCCTTGGGGTAGCGGAGAGAGTAAATCTGGCCCTGATATCAAATATTAACTATTTTCCGCAAACACAGTCATTTTGATACTATGGTATCATAGAAACCAAAAATACAAACCTGTGATGTATTAAAAGTATCTAGGCAGAGCAACTGGAAGAAACAAAAAGTGAAACCTGCAGCAATGTACATTTACTCAGAGATGGTTGTCAGCAGAGAATCCTCTTATGCAGGTAAAGATATTGCCTTTTACCCCTAAAGAATAAGGTGTTTGCATCTTATTCACTGATGAAAAATAAAACAGATCCACTGCTCTTTCACTGCGCTGAGTTTTAATATACACATGTTTGTATCATAATTAATATCAGCTTAAAAAAACCAAGAAGGCTTTTTCATGGAATATAGACATACAAGAGCACATCCCTTATACACACGTTCCATGAAAAAACACCCTTGTCCTAAAAAAAACATTTAACCCCACAGACATCATCACACTCTTGCATAATATGCATCAAGCACATTACTATGTACATAGATTACATAGATTACATAGATTACATCACATATCAACACATTTTACAACATATCCAACCAATTAACATTTCTTCTAAAACATAGTAAAGCAATTTAAAAAGGAATCCTCCCCCCTCCCCATGCTTCTTGTTCATCCATATTCTATCTAACCTATCATGCTGGGTTCTCAGCAGAAAACATTCTTACAACATGCCCAGCAAATCAAGCATTGTCCTGCTGTGATCCACTGCCTCATGCTGGGTTTTCATCAGAAAACATACTTACAACATGCCCACCAGCAAATCCAGCATTGTCCTGCGGTGATCCACTGCCACAGCCCAGGTTCCACCCACCATCTTTATCTGTGACATCATCGGGAGCCGACTGTCTCTTCTAAGTTCTTCAGCTGGCCCATGGCTCCAGCAGCCTCCTGGGAGAGGTGATGTGCATATCCTAGGAGGCTGTAGGGGCAGCAGGGACACATCATTCTGCGAGAATGGTGGTGGGGAAAGGGGGCAGTAAAAAGAAAAGGCGAATAAACAAAATAAATCACCATGTTTTTTATTTTTTATTGTGGAAAGTTGATTGCAGGGAGCTAAAGTGGACCTGGGGAGTAAAGGTCCACTTTAAAGTGCCCATTTTAAAATACATTTTAATTCGTTTTTTTTCAACAGTTTCCTGACGATCTTAACCCTTCCAATCTTCGTGGACATTTCACATCAGCCACTAAATAAAAATATTGGGTGTAGGAGGGAAGGTATGAAAAAATGTTAGCAGTGGTAGAGAAAAAACAAATAGTGGAAGGGGAGGGAGCATCATGTTCAAGCACATCAGCTGTGGCAGCAGCAAGTTAGAGCAACATTCCTAAAGTTATGGCAAATTATTAGCATTAATAAGTAAATTATTACCAGTGTGGTAGTACTGGCATTGTCATCTGAATGACTCATTCATCTTGACAGTCAAATCTGAGAAAGGAAGACTTTGGCTTATCTGTAAATAATAAATCATGGCAACTGGACGTGCTGTATTTTTCTTGAAGATGTTTCATTGGTCATCCAACCAGCTTTCTCAATTCAGAATGGCTTGTACAAAAAATTATCTGGGAATAAATATGGTGAATGTTGCTCCAATCCGCATAATCTGTTAATCGTAACCAGCATGAGGTCAGAGACCTCATGCAGGTAAGGTGTTAATTGGATTTGCATGATCATTTATGGTTAAAAAAAATGCAGTATATGAGTTACAGCATGTTGTGGGAACACGTCGTAAACTGAGCATTTTACCACTTGTTAGCGCAACACACCTAACGCAAGTTATGAATGTTCCCTTAAGACTATTCATTGGATTTTAACTACCTAAAATTCAATAAAAAATGGAAAGTTCGAAAGCACTTGACCGGTAGCGTATATACCAGAGATAGACAACCTAAGGCACACGTGCGTGGGTATGGAATGTCATTTTCAATGGCATCCACAAGATTGTCATGAGGCATGCATGCAGACTCAGACTAGGTCTGCTGCTTACAAATGCAGTCCGGCTGTAATCGACAGTGGACTAGCCTGGCCTGCTCCTCTGTGCCCCAGGCCCACCCACCTCCAGGGCAAATCAGAGAGGCCCATCTGATGTCATGGACATTCAGGTGTCAGTGCTCCTGTCTGTACCAGTGTAGGCCTAGCTGAGCTACTAACATAGTTATGTGAAGAAGTCATCAATCTACCCTCTTCCTCCTTCTAGTGGAACCAGCAGCTACAGCAGGTATGAATGTAAAATCCCAGGGCAGAAATTGAGGTCTGAAGCTGCAAGAATTGGGACTAACCTGAAGTCTAAGGCCTTGTTCACAACAGATACAGTGTGTTCCGGCCCGATTCTGGCCAGAACGTACTGCATCGCATTGCGGCCGGCTCACTATGTTGTGGGGCAGGAGGTGGCGTGACGGTCCATTGAAGTTAATGGCACCGTAGCCACTCCCTCCAGTCGCAATGCGATCGGCCAAAAAAATTGTTTAGTTTCGTATTGTTTCTAATGTTTTCTTATTTCACTTTTCAACTCGTTTCGGCATTCGGATTCGGACGTATCTGACATTTATGTTAATTTCGAAAGAGTTAAAAATGAGAACTACATTGCATAAAAGTGGCAATAAATGTTTACTTTTTTCTTTTCCACTTTTGACAGTCCACAGAAACAATAAAAAAAACACTGTGTGGTTACCTCCAGAAATTCATACCAGACCCTATACACTGTAGGTCTCGTATGAATTTTAGGGGGAACCCCAACACTAAATGCATAGGGTTCCCCCTAAAATCTCTTACCAGACCCAGACTCTAGACATAGGGAGGGTGCTTTGCCAGGACCATTGACATCAGGCAGTGGGGGGAGCAATTGCCATCCTGCTATTGGCTATTGCAATTTGAAATAGCCAAAAGCAGGATGACTATTGGCTATTTGTTCCGGCAGAGGAGTGGACCTGAAAGAGAAAGTTATTTCTCAGGTTCGCTCCTCTGCTGATTGACATCAGGCAGTGGGTGGAGCAACAGCCAGACTGCTATTGGCTATTTCATTTTGAAATAGCCAATAGCAGGCTTTGTTTATTTCTCACCCACTGCCCAATGTATACATTTCGTCGGGCAGCAAGTGGCCGGTATTTTTTTTTCCGGGTCTGAGGGCATCTTTACATTGCTGGACCATGTGATCGACACTGGATTGACATCGTGAGACTTTTTTTTTTTGGTTTTGTTCTTAATAAAGGAATTGTCAAAATCCCGTGTTGTGGTTTTTTTTTCAAATAAACAACTTTTTCTAGAGTGTGGTGTGTTTATTTTCTATTTTACTGTATTTGTCCAGATTCCTATAAGCCCCCCTGCCTGCAGACCCCCACAACCACCAGGCCATGGTTGTGGGGAAGAGACCCTTGTCCTCATCGATATGGGGAGAAGGTGCTTTTCCAGGGGGTCCCCCCAGGAAAGCACCCTCCCCATGTCAAGGGCATGTGGCCTAGTATGGTGCAGGCAGGGCGCATGCTTGTCCCCCCCTTTCTTGCTCTAGCTAACTGCTGCTTAAATCAAGGATCTGGTATGGGATTTTAGGGGGAACCCCATGCTTTTGGGGGTGGGGGGTTGGGGTCCCCTCTAAAATTCTTATCAGACCTAAAGGTTCTAGTATGAATTGGGGGGGGGGAGCTGCACGCTTTTTTTTATTATTGTTTATTTGGTCTGTCAACAGTTAAAAACTTTTCTGCATTCTGTAATGGCTCTCTGCTACTTTGTTCACATTCGGGATGCTCCTGAATGTTAAAGTGACAAATAAAGTAAAAAAATGTTTCCCTCCCCCCAAGTGTCAGCACTTACCTTAAATGATGTCTCTTAATCCGATCTTCTTCTTTCCTGATGTTTTCATCTGTGCGGCGGCTCTCCGATACAGTGCTGACTCCTATGTCCTTGCAGGCACTTCCGATCCCACGGTGTCTGCATGGAGGTGCACGCGTCCATAGCTGCTTTGTGGCCGCCTAAGCAGTTTCGGATTCTTGGACGGGAGCGCGCAGCAAAGACGAGGTAAGTTTAAACTGCTGTTAAAGCGGGTTTTAAAAAAAAAACTTTTTGCATATATCTACATGCAAAAAAAACGGAGGGTTTAGAAACCCTCTAAAGGAGAACTATGAGGTGAGTGCTTTTC